CGCACCAACGTCCTATACGAGCTGGCTCAGTACGCCACAGACCCCAACGAGCAGGAGCACCTCCGCAAGATGGCGTCTTCCGCTGCCGAGGGGAAGGTGAGCACGCCACTGCTTTGGCGGGCAAGGAGGCGGTTTAACGGGGATTCTCTCTGCGTGGCCTGTCTAGGAATTGCCAGACGGGTCTGTCTAGCTCAGTGTCCTCTTTCTGACACTGGCTGCTACTGGATCCTTCACAGGATGGTGTGAGGAAGCCCTGGATGGATAACCAGGGAGTATCTTGTTTGTAGACGTTCCTTCCTGACACCTGTCAGAGGTTGGCTTATGCCTTGAAGTATGAGGATTTACATAGACTTTTTTTTTTTTTTTTTTGGTAAATATAAAATATTTTACCCTCTTTGTAATGTAACTGGGGCTGAACTAATTATCCATCTACGTGTCCAAGGCTGCTGATGTGTCAAGACAAAACAAGGGGGGAAGATCATACTTAAAGTAAATAATGGCCCACAAACCTTGTAATTGGTTTTGCCACTAGGAAAGGGTTAACTAGGTGTCATGAGTAGTTAAACCCCTGAATATCCACCAGAGACAGCCAGGTGTCTACAAATCCCTGGTAGAGCCTTGGGCAGCAGCAGGTAGACGGGAGAAAAAGACAAGGTTTTGATGAGTGTGTGTGTGTGTTCTTTCCCAAAACATTGGCTTTAGGAGCCTAAATCTCATTGACCTCCAATGAGACTCAGGCACCCACGTGTCTCAGTCACTTCTGAACATGGGAGCTTTGGAGCCTACGTGTCGTAGGCATTTTTGAAAAATTTGCCCCTAATTTTTCTCGGTGCCAAGTGTCTGGGTGCCGGTGGAGAGAACGAACAGAGGCCTTAGCGGTGGCTTGCCTTGGTTATTAGGAGGGAGGCTGGGTGAACCCCAAGAGTCCTATCATGCTTGGTCTGTGCCACGTGACAGGGCAGGGAGGTAGCGCCTGGCAGGGTGGGGTGGGCGGAGGAGTGTTCTGGGGGAGAAGTTAAAGGCCGCGAGTGCAGGTATCCCTGGGAGTGGCTTTGCTGATGGCAGGCAGAGTGCTCCCACTGCCCTGCAGAACTAACTTCCCGCAGCCCCATCCATCTCGGTGCAACTCCCTGAGTTTCCGCTACGATGTCCTCTCATGTTGCTGAGCTCCCCTGCACAGAGCTGCTCCTTCGTTGTGCCAAAGGAAGGGATGGGAAACCTGGTGACTGATGTCCGATAGAGTCACCGATTTTAAGTCCACGAGGGATGGTTATGATCCTCTCGTCTGAGCTCCTGTGTCTCACAGGCCATAGGATTTCACCTTTGCCTTGTTCTCCTGTCTATACCCTCTGTGCACCTAGACGCTGTACCTCAGCTGGGTTTTGGAGGCCAGAAGGAACATATTAGCCATCCTGCAGGATGTATCTTCTCTCCGACCTCCCATCGACCACCTCTGTGAGCTGCTGCCTCGCCTGCAGGCCCGTTACTACTCGATTGCCTCCTCTTCCAAGGTGAGCCTCCAGGAGCCGGGCAATCTATCAGCCCTGGTGAAGGACTTTGTTTCTTGGCGTGACCTAGGCCACTGAGCAACCCTGAGAGAGTCCTCTCCCTTTCCACCCCCTCAGCCATCCTGACAGATCCCTGCATGGTTGGGCATCTGGGGACTGGGACAGGAATGCAGAGATTTCCCCTTTAAGGAAACACATCCTGTGCACAGGTGGCTCCCTGTTATTCGTGGTCGCAAAGGCAAACGGTACTTTCTTTCACACATGGGATGCAGATTCAGTGTCTCCATCACAGCTACCACTCTGGTGCCCTGAGGCTGCCTCGCTCTGCTCTCGCTGCTCTAGGGCCCTGCTTCTATGGCTTGGTAGTGAGGTGGGTTCTGGAGGTAAATGCTCCGGGCCTTGGGATTGTTTTCATTCACATTTTGTACCAGGAGCTCAGAATGGGGCAGAGCCCTATACCTCCTCTCTGAGTGTGCGCCAGGCCAAAGCCGTAGCTGAGACTCAGCCTGGCTTTAGTTCTGCTGCAGTCATAAGTGTCCTGCGAGGCTGGAGACGCCGTTACAAGCTAGCTCAGGACAACGGGATGCTGAATCTAAACTGTCCTGCGCTGTAATTTGGAGAGAAGCAGCGGAACAGCTCGGGCCAGAGATCTGACCTGGTTTCGCGTGAGAGGTGCATCCTCGGGAACTCCCGGTGCAGATCACAGCATCCTTTCACGGTTACACGTCCCGCGCGCACACGCAGAGCTCACGTTCCCCCCAGTTGCCCCTCTGGCTGGAGGGAGGTCTGGCTCCATCCCTAGCTCTAACAGAGAGAACTTGGGGTGCAGCAAAACCTCACTCTTCTTGCAATGGGGGAGGGATAGCTCAGTGGTTTGAGCATTGGCCCGCTAAACCCAGGGGTGTGAGTTCAATCCTTGAGGGGGCCACTTAGGGATCTGGGGCAAAATCAGTACTTGGTCCTGCTAGTGAAGGCAGGGGGCTGGACTCTATGACCTTTCGGGGTCCCTTCCAGTTCTAGGAGATGGGTATATCTCCACATATTTATATTATATGATTATAATGCAGGGAGACGGGGACTGGTACAGGATTCAGGTAGAGAGCATGTCATACCAGCACTCCGCCTCCTCCCCGTCCTGCTGGGCAACTAACCCCATCTGCTCAGGGGAAGGGAGATACCAAGATCCGCACACCAGGGCTCTGGCATTCCTCCAAGCAGGGGGGCACTAAAGGACAACTCCCTTGATGATAGACTCTAGCACAAGGGTAGGCAATATAGGTGGACTGCGGGCCAAAGCCAGACCCCCAAATGCTTTTGCACAGACCCTGAAATTTTTTACTTGTTGTTGTTGTTGTTTTTTTATTATTATTATTATTTTCTTCTCTGGAGTCTGGACCTTGACCAAGAAATTTGGACCTTGACAAAAAATAATTGATTACCCCAATAGCATCTTGTCCTGGTGCTTCTATTTAGCACAGCCTGTGGGCATGTCTGCTCTGCAGTCAGAGGTGTGACAGCATCTGTAGCTTTGATTGAGGGAGCCTGAACAAATAACAGCAGGGAAGTTGTGACAGCATTGGCGGCGGCCGCTCAAGTACAAACCCAAGGTCCCAAGCGGGCTTGCATCGCCCGTGCTGCCATGACTTCACTGCTATTGTTACTAGATCAAGGCTGGTCCTGCAGTCACACCTCTGACTGCAATGGAGATGTACCTTGCGTGGAATATATAGAGGCAAAATTGTTCCCGTGGAGCCGTGTAAGATAGAGGGGGTATAAATTGTGTCTTTAGCAGGAGGTCCACTTGGGTTGTCATCTGAGAGCTGCAGGAAAGAGTGGCTTGAACTAACCGTTCTTGTTAGCTTCCCCGCTCCAGTGGGTGCTGGTTCTTGTCTATGGACAGCCCATGGGACTCATTCCCCCGCAGGGGTTGCCCAGAAGCCAAACGGGTGACTGCACTTCTCTAAAGCTGCTGCCAATTTTGGTTTTGCTCCAGGTTCACCCTCACGCCATCCACATCTGCGCTGTGGTTGTGGAATACGAGACCAAGACAGGCCGGTTGAACAAAGGAGTGGCCACTACCTGGCTGAAGAACAAGGTGCCCAATGAAAACGGGCACAAGTTGACGGTGCCCATGTACGTCAGGAAGTCACAGTTCCGGTTGCCTTTCAAACCCAACACGCCCGTCATCATGATCGGGCCCGGGACTGGGATCGCCCCGTTCGTTGGCTTCGTTCAAGAACGGGCCTGGCTGAAGCAGCAAGGTGAGTGTGCAGCGGCGGTGCCAGATCAGCTGGTCCCGGAGTAGCCATCAACTGGATGTGCTGCCTCTTCGCGATAGTGCCAGTATCCAGTGGCTGCCAGAGGTGGGCCCCCTCCCATACAGCTGTGGCTCGTTCCTGAGGGGGCTTCAGAAGTAGCTCTCTCGTAGCATGTGTGGGGGAGCCGGGGGGGCGGGAGGGGAGAGACTTTCAGCAGCCGTAAGGGTTTGGCGTTTTTGAAGGTTAGAATGTAAAAGTCTGTCTGTTACGGGAGCATTGTTCTGATTATTTCCTGTAAACCCCTCCCACTCCGCGCATCCCCCAGTCACCTAGGTCAGCACGGTTTGCTGCAGGTGTGCAGGCTTGTAGGGGGCACCCCCTCCCACCCAGACCTGTGGTGACTGACAGCACCGTGGGCCAATCACGGCTCTCTTGTGATAGTGGGGCTCTATGGAGCAACCCTGGGGTGCACTTGGGGCACCAGCGGCAGCCCATCTTCTGTGTTCACTTGCAACTCGGGGTCCCTGGGATAACGAGGGGTAACTGCCCCCTTTTCCCCCAGGTTCAGCTCCTACCCTAGCACACACTGCTGGAGGGGAGCAGGTCCCTTTTCCTCTGTGGGCTCCTCGGAGCAGGAGGTTATGTGGCTGCGGGTGTAGAAGGTTGCTGCCTTCTGCTAGCCCTGGTAGGGTGGACGGATGGGCCACTGACCTGGCTTTGATTTCCTGCTCCGCCACAGACCTTGTCCAAGTCACTTAGGCCCACATCCCTTTGAAAGCAATGGAAGTTAGGTGTCGTGGAAGTCCCGTCAGTAGCTGGCTAGCTAGCCACGTGGAGGTGGCGGGCCTGGGCTGACAGCTGTCACGTTGGGTCCCAGGGAAGGACGTTGGCGAGACGGTGCTGTACTACGGCTGTCGCCATGAGAACGAGGACTACCTGTACCGAGAGGAGCTCGCCCAGTTCCACAAGGAGGGAGCCCTCACCCAGCTCAACGTCGCCTTCTCCAGGGACCAAGCCCAGAAGGTAAAGCCCAGCAAAGAGGCTCCAGTCCCTCCCTCCAGCCCATGTG